CCAACATCAACTCCATCAACCAATCAAGAGGCAGCAGCACAGCCAACAAGCCCAGCACACCAGTCCCCACCACCAGTATTTATAGAGAGACGGCAGCTCCGATCACACACTGCCTGCACTGGCACGAAGCCGAAAGCACCAGTCTGAGGATGGCAAGTGGGACCTCGCTGAAACGTCACCAAGATACTCTTAATCTTACATGGGAAAAGACCCGAACATACCTACACCTACATACCTGTACCCGTGAAAATCTACGAAAACAAATATATATAAATATATGCTTACTGAATTTCTATTAACATATTGATTTCTCAAAATATTCCCTACTAAAATAATAGGTTCAGAAAGAATTCAACAGATCCACAACAAATTCTTACGGATAATATACACAATTTTTGAAATTGCTTGCACTGTACTGTGCTTTTACCCTTTTAAATCTATATTTTATTCCTTACTTCAATGTAAAGTTGTATTGCTGAGAAGCATGCAATAACATGGAACCTTGAATTTGTAATGTTTCAAGGGAAAGTTTAATTGATGTCAAGAGCAACAGAAAGATAGGGAGGGGGAACGAAATAGGTTTTCTTCCAATCATTATGTTAATACTATTTAGATCACTATGGCCAGATAGATAAAGGAACGTAGCTGGTGATAGAAAAAATGTTTTGTTGGTTTAAAGGGCGAATCAGGTTTTGAACTAGAGAAATCAGGCATGAGCTTTATTTAAATGTTTTGTCCTTGGAAAGAACTAAAGCAATTTTCTAATCCATCTAAAATGAATAGGGTAGATTTTACTCATCTTTGTGAATAAGACGGCAGCCAAAAACATTCTGAAACATATTCTTAAGAGACTGTGCATGGTTTTTGTTTTTAACATGAAAATTTTGTTATTTTGCAACAATTACAATAACATGATAATTTTATGTATTTATTCATTCATGTATTTATCACATTTATATGCTACCCGTATTCATAGTGACTTTGGGCAGTTTACAATAAATACAATAATACATCTGCTTCAGATAATATTTTTACTTTTAGTAAAATCTTTGCCTATGTGTGAGCTTTTTAATACATAAAATCATGTTATCATTTAAATGCAGAGTTTTTAACAGATCCAAGGCCTAGGTTCCCAAGGGTCTAAATCTTGACTCATTATGTAGGTGTTCAGAATAACAACTGCAATGAGAGGCAAACATTGCATAATAATAGTGCTAATTATTCATCTTATTTGTATCTGAATGGCATAATAGAGTTCACATTAAAATTAAAAGTAAGGAGTCATCATTTTTGTCCCCCACACTACCGCCATGAAAAGAAACAAAAACAAGACTGCATAGTAGGGATAAAACATACCTGGACATAATGTGGTACAAGCTATTTTCTGTGAACTCTGGCCTTCACAGAAGGTCCCTCCATTGAGTGGTGCTGGATTGGTACATGTTCTTGTACGCTTCTGAGAGCCTTTTCCACAACGGCTGTTACATACTGACCACTCTGTCCAAGTTGACCATCCGCCATTGACTGAAAAATAAAGGTAGGAAAATGATTTAAATGAAGAACTAACCATTTATTAAGCTTGTAGGCTTCCAAGCGTTTCTATGAATTAAACCTTTTTTGTGTGAAAAAGGAAAGTTTATATACTGTATTTTTCGCTCCATAAGACGCACCTGACCATAAGACGCACCTACATTTAGAGGAGGAAAACAAGAAAAAAAAAATATTCTGAACCAGAGTCTGAGAGGACCACAGATAGGTGTCCTCGCATGTGCCAGCTCTGCCTATTGACTCCCTGCATTGAAGAAAAGAGACAGAAGAAGCGGGTAGTGACAAAGACAGAAGAGGCAGGGTTCAGCATTGTAAAAGGACCCCGCCTTCACGGCCCAGCTGCTATTCACCAAAGACACACAGGCATTTCCACCCACTTTTTTTGGGAGGGGAAAGTGCGTCTTATGGAGCAAAAAATACACTATTTCTTTTATGCTTGCTTGGATTTCAAATGTCGATAATAAAAGAAACAGTAATATCACAACAAAGGTACTCTGTCCACCCTTTAATGTGTAACAAAATGAGATTAAAATCTGGTCAAAACTAGCTTCTGCTTGTTGAAAATTCAGTAATCTTTGGCTCTCTTAGGAAAGAAATGCCTCTTAGAAAAGCCTGGCCTATTTGGATAATCAGACAGAGCCTACACAGGATCTCCATATACTAGAAGGTGCAATAAGAGATGTCCTGAATATCTTCTAATGGGGTTTTCTTCCTATGGAAGGCTTATCTTTCAAGTTATGTGGAAAGTTGTACAGATTGGCTTTTGCCAAAGTCTTTCAGGATTGAATCCAGAAACATTTACGGAATACAAATTAAAGAATCCTTTTCCAACAGTGACCACAATATGATTGACTTTTGTCTCAACATACATCCACACAAAAATCATCACAATGACGGAATCCCCAATTATAACTTCAAAAAAGGCAACTCTGATCTTATAGACAACAATCTCTCATCCCTTGATTGGAATTTCTATTCTCTGGATGCAATACTTTAGAAGACCATTACAACATATTTTTACTTGAAGTCAAAAGAGTCATCAAACTATATGTACCATTAACAACTCCCAAAACCAGAAAAAACAAATTACCCAAAGCAATAAGGAAGCTTCAATCCAAAAAGAATCACTTTGGCGGAAAAACAAATCTGGTCACGTTGCCAAAAATTTATGCCACCAGATAAAAACTGAATGCACCAATTATCACATTAAACAAGAAGAAAACCTTCTATGCACCAATTCCACCCATGCTTTCTACAATTTTGTAAACAACAAACTAAAAGACTCAAGGTCCATCCCACCCCTGAAAGGACCTAATGGTAAAGACTGCAACAATGACACTATTAAAGCCAACCTCTTTAACACATTCTTTGGCTCAGTATTTGTAAACAGCAATGGATCAAGCCCAGTATTTCCTAGTCGAACCACAGACAACTACAATGATCTAATACATATCGATTTTACAGAAGACAATGTTGAAAAAGCACTACGCAATCTAAAACCATCTCTATCTATTGGACTGGATGGAATATGTGCCTACTTCTTAAAAAAGCTACCCACTGCCATAGCCGAACCTCTAAACATAATCTTTGAAAAATCTTTCAGGACCAGCTCCTTGCCAAAACTATGGTCACAAGCCATGGTCATCCCCATCTTCAGAAAGGAAGACCCCAGCCTAGTTGAAAATTACAGACCAATCTCTTTATGCTGCATAACCTGTGAAGTCATGGAATCAATTATTAACCAATCCATCACCCTCCACTTAGAAACAAACAACCTACTCTCTAATAAACGATTTGGTTTTAGGAAAAAACTATCCTGTAATCTGCAACTTTTACACTGCAAAAACATATGGACTACACAACTCGATCAGGGCAAAGCAATAGATGCAATCTACATAGACTTCTGTAAAGCCTTTGATTCAGTGGTACATGACAAACTACTCCTAAAACTAAAATCTTATAGTATCTCTGGACACCTGCATAACTGGATAGAAGCATTCCTGTCAAACAGACAACAAATGGTCAAAATTGGGAGTGTCCTATCAAATTCTGTACCTGTCAACAGTGGTGTCCTCCAAGGCAGTGTTCTAGGACCAACTCTTTTCATACTCTACATAAATCACCTCTGTGATCATATCAAGAGCAACTGATGATGTAAAGCTATTCAACACCATAGACAATACTGCTACCCTTCAAAAAGATCTTGACTATGTATCAGAATGGTCAAACAAATGGCAACTTCAAATCTCAACAAATAAATGCTCTGTCCTACATATTGGCAAAAAAAATCAGAAAATAAAATACAGGCTGAATAGTCAAGACCTTGTTGATGATCCAAACTCTGTCAAGGATCTTGGAGTACTCATCTCAAATGACCTAAGTGCTAGAGCCCACTGTAACTACATAGCCAAAAAGGCATTAAGAGTTGTTAACCTAATCTTACGTAGCTTTTTCTCTGGTAATATTACACTAATAACTAGAGCATACAAAACATTTGCTAGACCAAAACTCAAATACAGTTCATCAGTCTGGAATCCACATTACATATGTGATATTAACACAGTTGAGAAAGTCCAGAAATATTTCACAAGAAAAGTTCTCCATTCCTCTACTCATTGCAGAATAACTTATGCCACCAGACTCGAAATTCTAGACCTAGAAAATCTAGAACTATGCTGCCTTCGGTCAGCATAGTATAGTATATAAAATCATACATTGCAATGTCCTACCAGTCAATGAATACTTCAGCTTCAACCATAATAACACAAGAGCAAACAATAGATACAAACTCATGCTTAATCACACCAAACTTGATTGCAATACGACTTCAGCAACAGAGTGATCAATGTCTGGAATACTCTACCTGATTCTGTGTTTTTTTTCTTCCCAAACCCCCAAAACTTTAACCTTAGACTGTCTACTATTGACCTCAACCCTTTCCTAAGAGGTCTGTAGGGGGTATGCCTAAGCGCACCAACGTGCCTACCGTCCCTGTCCTATTGTTTCTTTTATATATTTTTTTTCTTATATGTATCCATGTATTCATGACTATGTTTTTACATATACCTATTATCTTGTAAGCAATTGACAAATAAAAATAAATAAGAAATAAATAATTTTGTTGGCAGATGAATTGCTTTCTATATAATTGCAGACATACACACAGACATAAATACACACACACATACATGCAAACATACACAGTGGGTATAATAAAATTGGATAGAGACAGTGTATACATTTCATAGGGCTTCTCTTTTATATCCATTAGTGCAGTGTATCTTTCTAATAAGTTATCTGAAAAAAAAGAGTAGGAGGGGATAATCATTTAAATAAACTATCCCCAAGATATATATATATATTTTACTGTAAAAGTCTGACTCACAGACGGACATAATACAGAAGCCTGATGATGGGGATTTCCGGTTTGTCGGCTTCGCGAGCGGCAGGGATTTGCGAAGCTGCGCGATCCCTGCCGCGCTAGCCGTTTTTGGGGCTCCGACCCAGCCGGGTACGGAGCTAGGCTGCCCTGCAGGGGCAGCTGAAGGTAGGGGGGATCCGGAGAAGGGTTTGGGGGTGCTGCAGACCCCCTCCCTGGCCGGCAGAACTCCCTTTTCCCAGGACGGTGCAGCGGCGGTCTGTAATGGCCGCCACAAAGAAGCTGGCAGCCGGGTAAGAATGCGCAGGAGGAAGTGGAGAAAGTGATTGAGAGGAGAAAGTTTTTCTTGGCTCCTAGGACTCTAAGACATATCTAATAAAATTCCTGAAAAGTATGACTTTCTGAATTATACCTGCCAGAAGAGGAAAAAAGCGGCTGTGAAGGTGCTGAAAGGATAGCTTTCCCTCTTTTCCTACGGAATAAATAACTGGATATTAAGAAACCTATTTCTTTTAGGTGAAAATTGATTTTAAGCGATGAGTGGGAAGAGAGAGGATTAAAAAGAAAACATTTGTATGCTAAGATTTGTTGGAGCAGATGCCTTAAGGATTTGAAGACTAGAATATATTGCAATAAGATTTTAAACAGATTTGGACTTTCTTTCTCTTGGATTGATATTGCCCCAGAAGGAGAAAGTGAGAATTCTGCCTTGGTTTGGACTGACTGATAACTTTGGGACTGTTTTATTTTTTTTTTTATTTTCTTTTGAATATTCTGGTTGTTGTAAGAAGAAAGAAGGGGAAAAGAAAAGAAAAGATTTATAATGGCTCTTTCTGTTGAGGAACTAAGAAAAGAATATGAACAAGCAAAAAAAAATGGTAAAGATGGTGTGGAAGAAGCTTTCCTTTTCTTAGAAATGGCGCTTATTAATTATCAACAAACATTACAACAGATGAAGACAGCAGAGGAACAAGAAAGAAAGAAAGGAGCCATCTTTAATGAATCTCAGAACTTGATCCAGAAAGAAGGAAGAGAGAAAGAAAAGAAAAGAAGAGAAAAGAAGAAAATTAAAGGACTTAAGGACTTAAGATCTAAAAAAACATTTAAGAAAGGGAAAAATAAGGTGCAAAACCAATATGATGATAGTAAACAAAAGGGAAAAGGAATACGACAGAGAAGGGAAGCTGGCAAGGCAGAGGCTAGAAGAAGGGGGGGTAGAAAGGTTTGTTGGGAGAAGAAAGAAAGGGAAAAGGTGGAGAAAAGCTACAATGTCTTGAAATTAAATGAAAAAAAGAAGCTTTTTTTGGATAATGGATAAAGTATATTTTTTTTTTTTAAAAAAAAGATTTTGCAAGGTACATAAGATGAGATGGTAGTATTGTAATGATTTAAGAGTTGATAAGAGATTAAAATGTTAAAATGTTTAAAAATGATTGGCTTTAAAACTTAATAATAGGGGAGGTTTAGAATATTGTTTTAATTAAAGAGTTTAATAAGACTATGGTATTGATGTTATTATAAAATTTTTATTATAGTATCTTTTTTTAATATTTGGATTTATTGTCTAATTATGTACTTAATTATGTTGGGTGTATTA